CGCCTGTGGTATCGAAGACTACCGGCCAGGTCGATCTCGACCTACTCCCAGCTGAGGAAAGAATTCATCGGTCAATTCTCTTCCCAGCACTACGACAGAAAGACAGCAACTCACCTCGCCACCATTAGGCAGAAAGAAGGAGAGACACTGAGAGAATATGTCACAAGGTTCCAGGAGGAGCAGTTGAAGGTCGCGCACTGCTCCGATGACTCGGCCATGTGTTATTTCCTTACAGGTCTGGCCGATGAGACCTTAATTGTGAAGCTCGGAGAAGAGGCCCCAGCCACTTTTGCCGAGGTCCTGCAAAAGGCGAAGAAGGTTATTGATGGGCAAGAGCTCCTCCAGACCAAAACTGGCCGACCAGAAAAGAAGATCGACCAGGGGAGGACTGGCATGGACAAAGGAAAGGCTGATTCCAAGTCCAAAGACAAGGGACCATCCTCCTCTAGCAGCCGAGCTGATTATCGAAGGTCGGATAGCAGTCACAACCGAAGCCGACTTTATGAGCATTACATTCCGACTACCATCCCAATCTCTGAAATACTCACAAACATTGAGCAGACTGGGATGGAAAAGCTCTTTCAAGCGACCTGAGAAGCTCCGAGGAGACCTAGAAAAGCGCAATAAAGATAAATATTGTCGTTTTCATCGAGATCATGGCCATAATACGTCAAATTGCTGGGAATTGAAGCGCCAGATTGAAGACCTCATTCAAGATGGCTACTTCAAAAAATTCGTTGGCAAACCGAGGTCCAACTCAGTGGAAAAGAAAGAAGAGAGGAAGCGTTCGAGGACGCCACCTCGCCGAGATGACCGACCTACGGTCATCAATACCATTTTTGGAGGCATAAGTGGGGGCCAGTCTGGAAATAAAAGAAAGGAGCAAGCTCGAAAAGCCAGGTGCGAGGTGTGCATCATCAGGGAGCAGAGATCGACCTCCCCTATTACCTTCAACGATGCTGACCTGGAGGGGGTCCATTTGCCCCATAATGACGTACTTGTGATCGCTCCACTCATTGATCACGTCCTGGTCTGAAGAGTACTGGTAGATGGAGGCGCATCTGCCAACATCTTGTCCTTCTCAACATATCTTGCCTTGGGATGGACCAGGTCACAGTTGAAGAAGAGTCCGACACCCTTGGTTGGATTCTCTAGAGAATCGGTTTCTCCAGAAGGGTGTATCGACTTGCCGATTACGATTGGGCAGGATGATACACAAGTAACTCAGATGGCCGAGTTCGTCGTGGTCGACGGCAGGTCGGCCTACAACACCATCTTTGGGAGACCCATCATCCATTCGTTCTGGGTCGTTCCCTCAACACTTCATCAAGTCCTGAAGTACTCAACTCCTAATTGAGTGGGCACGGTCCGAGGAGAGCAGAAAACTTCAAGGGAATGTTATGCCTACGCGCTTAAGGGGTCATCAGTATGCGCCCTAGAAGGACAAGCCAATTGGGACGAGTTGCTGAATTCCGAGGTCGACCTACCGGAAGTAGGTAAAAGGGAGTTCTCCGCACCGACAGAGAAGCTCGAGCTTGTTCCTTTGCTTAGCCCTGAAAGACAAGTAAGCATAGGAACCAAGCTGGGGGCCACTGATAAGGAGGAGCTGATCAACTTCCTCAGATCCAATTCAGACGTTTTCGCGTGGTCCCATGAAGACATGCCAGACATCGACCCGAAGATCATGGTGCATCGCCTCAATATAGACCCATTATTCCGACCTATAAAGCAAAAGAGGAGACCTGTAAATAGGGGGAGAAGTGATGTAATTAATGAGGAAGTAAACAAACTTTTGAAAGCTGAATATATAAGAGAAATTTTGTATCCCGAGTGGCTCTCTAATGTTGTATTAGTTAAAAAAGCTAACAGGAAGTGGAGGATGTGCGTAGATTTTACAAATTTAAACAAGGCATGCCCAAAAGACTGCTTCCCCCTGCCGAGGATCTACCAGCTCGTGGACGCAACAGCTGGGCACGAGCTGCTCACCTTCATGGATGCCTACTCCGGATACAACCAAATCAAAATGCATGTCTCAGATCAAGATCATACAACATTCATAACAAACCAATGTCTGTATTGCTACAAGGTTATGCCCTTCGGCCTAAAGAATGCGGGGGCGACCTACCAAATAATGGTGAACAAAATGTTCGTCAAGCAGATCGGCCGGAATATGGAAGTGTATGTGGACGACATGCTTGTCAAGAGCAAGTAGTCAAAGTCGCATCTTTCAGATCTGGCCGAAGCATTTGAAGTTCTGCGGAAGTATTAAATGAAGCTCAATCCAGCCAAGTGTGCCTTTGGAGTCTCCTCAGGGAAGTTCGTTGGTTTTACGGTAAACAGCTGGGGGATCGAAGCTAACCCAGAGAAGATAAAAGTCGTGCTCGAGATGGAGGCACCCAAAAATCTGAAACAGCTTCAGTGCGTCAATGGCAGGATTGCAGACTTGAATAGATTCGTTTCGAGGTCAACAGATAAGTGCTTTCCTTTCTTCAAAGTCCTAAGAAAGAAAGGACCGTTCGAATGGACGGCAGAGTGCGAGCAAACACTGAAGTAGTTAAAAAACTATCTTTGCTCGGTACCTCTACTCGTCAAGTCATTGCCAGGAGACAAGCTCCACTTGTACCCGACTGTGTCCGACAGGGCTGTCAGCTCGGCCCTAGTCAAGCAAGAGGGAGTACGCCAGAGTCCCGTTTATTACACAAGCAAAGCCATGACCGAAGCTGAGACCAGATATCCTCAGATGGAGCAGCTGGCCCTCGCCTTAGTCACCTCGGCCTGAAGAGTTAGGTCGTACTTCCAAGCGCACACCGTCGTGGTACTTACCAATTTGCCCTTGAAGAACATCTTCCATAAGCCAGAAACATCAGGGCGCATGATGAAGTGGGCAATGGAGTTGACCGAGTACGGCATCCAGTTCGAACCCATAACTGCGTTGAAGGGGCAAGCAGTGGCAGACTTCATCGCAAAGCTCACCCCACCGTCTCAGTCGGCCGAGTCTGACCTCCCGTGGACGATCTACGTTGACGGATCTTCCAATGAGAGGGGGTGTGGAGCATGAATTCTCGTGCTCGCACCAAGTGGCATGCGGTTCGAGTATGCTCTGCGGTTCAACTTTCGGACTTCGAATAATGAGGCTGAGTACGAAGCACTTTTGGCAAGTCTACGCGTCGCCAAAGGGCTGGGGGCCGTCCACATCAAGGTCTTTAGTGACTCCCAGTTGGTCGTAAATCAGATTAGGGAGGAGTATTAAGCAAAAAACTCTCGGATGGAAAAATATTTAAGTAAAGTCAGATTGCACCTCGTTCAGTTCAAGACTTACGAGGTGAATCAAGTTCCAAGATCAGAGAATTCCAATGCGGATGCCTTAGCCAAATTGGCATCAGCGTATGATACCGACCTGGCCAGATTGGTCCCGGTTGAGATCTTGGACAATCCTTCAATCTTAGAGCCAGATTTGATGGAGGTTGACACTCCAGCACCCTCGTGGATGGACCCAATAGTGGAGTTCATCAAAGGGAATCCATCGCAGGATCCGAAGGAGCAAAAGATGATGACGTGGAAAGCAGCTCGGTTCATACTCCGAGATGGAGCGTTGTACCGATGTAGCTTCTCCCTGCCTCTGCTTAAGTGTGTAACCCTTGAAGAAGGCCTTTACATCATTAGGGAAATCCATGAAGGAGTGTGTGGAAACCACTCTGGCACCAGGTTGTTATCGGCCAAGGTGGTTCGACAAGGATACTATTGGCCCACCGTCGAGCATGATGCAAAGCAGTTTGTGAAAACCTGCGACAGTTGCCAGCACTTTGCAAATATCATCCATCAGCCTCCTGAGCTGCTTACCCCTATCTCGGCCCCATGGCCATTCGTGCAATGGGGAGTTGACATCATAGGTCCTTTTCCCCTAGGCAAAGGACAAACCAAGTTCACCGTTGTCGCTGTGGACTACTTCACCAAGTGGGCGAGACCGAGACGCTCACCCACATTACAGAGCCCAGAGTCACGTCGTTCATATAGACAAACATCGTATGTCGTTTTGGTATACCAAACGCCATTGTGACAGACAACGGGAAGCAATTCGACAACGCAAAGTTCAAGGACGTTTGCAAAAAGTTGGGCATAAGCCATCTTAGTTCGTCCCCTGCGCATCCAAAAGCAAATGGACAAGTTGAAGCGATAAATAAAATTATAAAACGAGGACTCAAGCTTAGATTGGATTCCAGAAAGAGTAGATGGGCCGAGGAGCTACCCGAAGTATTGTGGTCATATCGCACCACCCCAAGAGAGTCGACTGACGAAACTCCGTTCTCACTGGCTTTTGGCTTTCAAGTCGTTGTTCCAGTTGAGATCAGCATGCCAACAAACAGGGTAGAGCAGTACGAGCCAACAAGGAACGAGGAAGAGCTACTCCTTAACCTTGATTTATTAGAGGAAAAAAGGGAAATGGCTCAGCTGCGCTTAGCGGAGTATCAGAACAGAATGGCCAGACATTACAACGCTCGAGTTCGACCTCGAAGCTTCCAAGTCGGACATTTGGTCTTAAGGAAGATTCAGAGTCATGTGGGCACACTTGACCCAAGTTGGGAGGGACCGTTCGAGGTTAAAGGCATAGTCCGACTTGGAACGTACATGCTGGCCGACCTGGAAGGAAATGTGCTTGCGCATCCGTGGAACGCAGAGCACCTAAAACGCTATTACCCTTGAAATGTCAAAATGGTCCTAAAATGGACTTGTAAAAATTTTCAAGGGGCGGAACTTTTAATAAACGAAGGAGTTATCTAATTTCGTGACTCCGAGTTCGATCAGAAATTAAATGGGGGCCACGGACTCCCATAAGACTTATAAACCGACAAGGTAAGTGTAAAAGTAAAAATTGATCAAATTCAATCCTCATAGCCCACGGGTTCGAGATGCAATGTCAAAATTAATTGAATCAATTGCGAATCAAAATTCAATCATTTGAACGCTTAAGCTAAAGGTGCGATATAAAAAGTTCAAATTGTTTGATATTCTCTTTTGAACTTCCGAGTTCGAGGAGAAATATAAAAGACCAGAGAAGGAAACTCTCAAATTCAAACCTTAAAAACCAACATAAGTAAAAGGGGCGACGTGGAAAGAGTTCCTCCCAAACTCAATCTTTTAAGCTCACGAGTTAGAGGTGCGAGGTGAAATTATTCATATATGAGTTCAAATTTACAAAAGCAAGTTCAAAAGCTTAAGAAAAAAACAATAAAAGAAAAGACAGAGCTTGATGTATAAAAGTATAAAAATGAAGATTCCATTGATTAAAGGATGGAGCCAAGGCTTGTATACCTTGCAGCTCTGCCCAAAGACTTAAAAAAAACAACAACATAAAACAAACGAAAAAGGCAGGTAACCTCAGCTACTTCCGAGGTGGGAAGACAGCTCGCCTTGGAAACCCAGAAGGTTGACCTCCTGGGACCCGCCCTGCTGCGGAGGGACCTCCTCCTAGGTGGTTCCGACCTCAACCTGCTCTTAACTAGGAGCGTCTTCTTCCTCGAGATCGGAGTAGTTAGAGTCCAGTTCTCTGACGTACTTCTCCACCAAAGAATGGGGGCCCGGAGTGCTGTTAGGCCCAGAGGCCCATTTTTTAGCGTACTTCTTCTTCAGGTCGCTGAGGTAGATCTGAAGATGGGGTATGTCGGCAGCGATACCTTTCATAAAAAATTTGAAGCCTGCGTCGCTGAAGTCCTTGGCAAACCCGTCAAAGTCTGGGTGTTGCCTGAAGGCTGCTTCTAGTAGTGAGATGCCCTATCACAGCGTCCTTCGCCTCGAGGGCCTGGAGCATGTCGCCCTTTTCCTTTAGGAGTTAGAACTTCTCTTTCTCCAGCACTTTAGTGATTGCATGGGCAGCTCGAAGATGGACCTTATGCCTCTCGTCCTCCTTCTTCAGCAGTTCGGCCTTAGCTTCCACCTCGGCCCTCAGGATATCCACTTCGGAGCGAGCCTTTAGTAGCTCGCCCTTCATTATGGTGGCAGCCTCTAAGGCAGCGGAGGAGTTCTCCTTCTCCTTTGCTG